ATAAGCATAAGTAAACAAAAAAAACCTAGTTACAGCAAAAATGGCTCACCCTTTTCAGCCTTTTTGGGTAGGAAATCAAAAAAGAGGTCGCAGAAGCAAAAAGAATAACAGAAAAAGAATGTGAGAAAAACATCGCCTCATCACTCGGCGATCAGCTGGTTGTGTGTAGGTCCTAGAACGAATAATAGTAATCTGTATTGCCTCGACACTCCTCTGACGTGACATCGATCGAGAGGCGGGAAAGCGAATCAAGACAGCAGCAGGGCTTCCACTATGCCCTAACCGTCTGGATTGTGGAAGTGAGAGGGTCCCTTCTACCACGTATGGGGGCCCCTGAGTACTCCTAAGGGAAGAACTCAGTAACCATTTTTATCGTGAACCGTGCCTTTAATCAATTATTCCACCTAACAAAATCGTATAAGAATATTTTTAATCGTAATTAAATATGCCGAGGTTAAAGCAAGAGAAAAGTTGGAGACTATCTGATTTGAGTGTTAGAGTGGGGTCATGCCAGCGCAATTCTCAAATATGTATTAGGAGCACAAAGTATTTCTGACTTCATTGAAGGTGATTAGGGTGCAAGTGTTTCTGAGCTCTAGCAGTAAGCAAAAATAAATTAAGTAATTAAAAACACCATACAACCTGCAAACACACATCAGCTACAACAGAAATGTGTGAATGTATACCCATCTACATTTGTACGGCCCCTGTACCATTTTTGTTATATTAACGCTTTACTGTGCCTTGTGCTGATAAGTGAAGTAATCAGGGTTCTCTTCAATAGAACTTACTTTTACAAGTAAATATCGGTAATTTTAGAACTATTGATTCAAATAAACATGTTGACTGAAGTACTGGAAATAAGTCTCAGAGAAACTCTTCAAATTAACCTCGACGACCTTACTTTTAAAAAGGCAATTTCGAATATCTTTGAATGGAGGCCTCTTCTAACTAGAAGAATATCGAAAAGGCGAAAATTTTCAAGAAGTCCGCTACAGATTGTCAAGTTGCATTTAAATCAACGCTCAGTTTTTATGTGAGAGGAGTTGATGTTCATACCCCTTCTGAAGAGCATGATGATGCACCTCAATTTTCGTCGAAATGATAGAATTGGGCTAATTGTGGGGTTGTTGATGCCCACTGGAGTGGCACTCTAAGTCTGAATAGGCAATCGGAATGGAACCATTGGAGTTGAGCGAACTTAGTTCGCATTCAAGAGATCGCAGTCAACTCGATAAAACATATTCGTTTTCTGTTCGAGCATGGGCATTACGGTGGTGATCGGCATCAATAGAACATTGGCTCATTTTTTTCGCACAGGACCTACAGAGAGGCGAAGTGCGGGTTGCAGAACCACACTAGACGTCTTCTTTCATCCTTCGAAGGTATTACAGGATATGACCACAAAGTCCAACACTCAATGGGGTTGTATATATGTATATATGCCTTTGGCAAAAAGGAGGTAAACACTGTTGCTGTTTTCTGCTTTGCTAGATTACCGATCGCAGCGGACGAGATTTCAGTCATGTGCAATGGCGTAAAGAGTTGACTACAATAAGCCAGAAAGGCTAGAAATGGTATTCTGCTGTTGCAGCAGGTCACGAGTTTTAGTTCGAGTTTTCAATATGTGTGCTTCATTGTGAATGATGCATTTTCTCCTTTTTTCTCAATACCTTCAAACACAGCATCTTCCGTGTGTGGAATATAGTGATACAGCCCTTGAAGCCTTATTTCGCACTATATTTATGGTCCGTTCTTCAATCTGTTGGTGCTCCACATAGCATACTTGACGGCTACAGATTCAGCCTAAAAAGTTATCATGGAAGCCATTCTATCACGAATGGTGCCGCTGAGATCTAAAAATTCCTTAGTCCCTCAATATAGTTCATATAATAATGTGGTGAAATAACAGTAATAATTATTACTATATGATTGTAATTATAATAATAAAGCACACAACAAACCACCCCNCCCCCCCCCCCCCCCCCCCACCCCCTCCGGGAACATTATCAGTATACTACTCTTCTGAGTTCTGCACTTATGCCCAGCCCGAGCCCACTCCCTCTCCCACCACCAAATACAATCTCGGGAAGGGGAAGAGAGGAATCTCGTACTGCATTTTCTGTGTTAGCTTGGTACACATTCAAGGCACTACCGATACTGAATAGGAGCCGAAAGCAGTGCTCACCCAAGATCGTTATCGATCGATAACGATTGCTTTAGCACCCGTCAATCACTTTCAAAAAATGCACTCATCAAACACTCTTAGAGTCCATCCATTGTCACAGCGGACGCATAGGCAGAAATTAGTAGTAACAGGATTAGAAATCAGGAGTAACGAGTTTTCCGGCGTAGGGGTGTTTGCCGAGGTTGTTTCACAGGAAAAAAAATTTAAAAAGAAAATGGCGAGGGCAAATCAGTCTTTTCTGAATTTGTCCGACGTTCTCTAGAGGTTCTCTAGGAAGGATTCTATCGTTGTGCAGAAATGGGTACGTTTAGGATCTCTCGGCCAGGAATAACACCACGATTTGATATGAATACTCAATGCATTCGCAAATGGACCACTTTCTTTTCCTCAGCTCCCGAATAACATTGAAACGAATACGAAGGGAGCGTAACCCTCCGCGAAGGCAAAGGTGCAATCACAAGTGGGAAAATTGTGCAGCAATAATTCTAAACTTGACCCAGTAAACAGAAACCAAAAAAATAGCAGCAAAAATGTTCGATTATATGTTAGGTGCCCTGCTAGTTGTTCACATAAGAGTAACCTAACGTCCAAGGGATGAACGCCGCAAGAGAGAAGTAATCCCTGTTAAGAACGATTAATGCGATGTAATGGGCTCAACTCTTCAGGTAAACTGTCTGAGGGGAAGGCAAGAAAGCAAAGAACATTGGCGGATTGCAGAACTTTTCTGCTTTATTGGTGTTAGTAGTATACAAGTCAACAAATGAAAAAATGCAGCCATCAATGGGCTTGGGACACGACACGAGTCAAATAAGGTACCTGGAGGAAAAAGTTGCAAGGGAGAGTATGTTCAGGAGTTATGTGTCATAGCTGTAGGCAGCTTGGCAGAAAGTAGAAACGTAATGGTCGTTTTTCATGGTCTAAACATAGTGGGTTCAAGATCTCGGCCGGGACAGAAAAAAAGTCAAAAAAGGACGAGAAGCAACATATGCTGGTAAAAAATAGTAAAAGAAATGTCAATCGTGAGAGACTTTCGCATCTCGTACCACGGGAAATGGCAGTAGTTAACAAAATCTGTAATACTCACGACAATTGTCACTTTTTCCCTATTGTTAATCGGTTGGGTTTACTTTTCGTTCATAATGTTCCTTTCAGCTTTTACCCACCTTAGGCTTTTTGTCAATGATGTTAGCATGAAATGATGACAGCAATTCGTTACGAAGTTTTTTTGCTGCTTTTCTAGCTACAAGTCTCACTATTTCAGAGGATGTAGGGTCTTATGTGGGTTCTTATAAGGCTCTTCCTATGACAAGTCCTTTGCTAGACTGTTCTTGTTGTCACCATAGAATGAAATTCTTCACGCTGAAGCGTTTCATTGAAAACGGCGCACTTCATCTGACCCATATTATTCTTCTCATTCATTAAATTTTGTGCAATTTAACCTTCCACACTGACACTTCCGAACACACGACGATGTTTGATTTGAAATGCGAAAAAAAAAAACAAGCTAATTGGAGCCTTCGTCTAAAGAGACTCAGCCAGTGCATATCGGTAAATAATGTTTGAGAAATGGAAAGTCAAAAATTCCAATGGTATCCTCCTGATGTTTTCTGAAGAATTTCATGAATTTGATCGTTATCTACTATTCACCGAGGAAGACTTGTATTACTTCAAGCCCTTAGAGATGTAATATTCAGCTTCATGTCAGGAAGATGACTTCTTCGAGCATATTTGAAAACACCGTGAAATGCAACATCTCCTGATTCATAGGACTGACTTGATCATGCTAGATCTTCTTGCTTCTGAAGAAATGGCAGATAAGGAGAACGTCCGTTGCGCACGTCCGTCGAAAGTAGGTCACCCCGCCCACTTCGCGCACGGCGCACCCCACTGAGGTCTCGAGATGACATTATGCTACCACCAAGTGTCAGTCGAGCGAATGATTTGCGTTTGTCCGTGTTATCTTCTCTTTGGCTGACTGCCGTGGACCAAGCGCAAATCGTATGCCCCACTGACAACTGCGACATCCATCAAGTATCGCGGGTTGACCCGCCGCATGCGACGGCAGCGGCGAGACCTAGTTTCGACGGACGCGCGCAACGAAGCGCACCCGGCAGGTAACGTTCTGCAAGGGTTGTTTTGATCGCATAGATCGGCAAACTTCTTCAACCTATCCATCACTTGTTCGGAAGCTCTCCGTATTCCATCGACAGATGACCCAGGTTTTGGATCAGAGAGTGATGATTCTTGAGAAATAGCTGGCCTCGAAAGGTCACTGAGTCCGCCAATACTTGAAGCATCAGAACCCGTGAACTAATCCAGAAATGTACCTCAGCAGAAATTGTTTTTGGGATTTCTTTGAGGAGGTTAAGGGACTCTAAGCTTCTTGAGGAAATCGCAAATGCTGAGAAGGGATTTATAATAAGTATTCCTAAAATTCAGGGTTAACAGAACGGCTTTGTCGCGACACTTCGTCTGCAAATATGCCCATGACGACGGCATACGTGGGCAAACTAAATTGCTATAATAACCAAACGGAGGATATGGTAATAAAGCTATTACACATTATGAGTAGTAGTTTTTCCCCGATATTCGTGCTCGGATAACTTTCTAATTATAACTCTGCGAAGAAATCTTGTTTCACTTGTGACGCCTTTGGACTTGATTTGGTTTTCCCAGCCTCGGGCTTGTGAATACTCAGAAGATTCCACCACGTATTAATTATTTGAATGGCAATTTTTAAAAATTTATCGAAACAATATGTATATATGCAGACAGCGAGGAGATGTGAGTACGTTCTAAAGTATTTTCACAACTAAGACCCAATTTTCTCACGTTTGGCAACGACATGCACAAAGCCATAGAGTCCGACGGCAACCACGCATATTCCACCCATGACTAGCCAGACGAAACCCTGAATGGATACTGTATAATACAGGTTACCGAAAAATGGAAAAAAAATGTAGATGGGATCCCAAAGCTGAAAGGTCTCAAGTAATTTCCGCAAAAAATAGAAAATGAAATAGTTGCGAGATCGATATATCGTAGGTGACTAATATAGTCGGCGTCGCGATAGGATCAAGTAGCTCTCACGGACGCAACCGAGTCCTTCCCCCTTCAAAGTTGACTAGCTTTGTTTTTTTTTCGCTGGGAAAACAAAAACTTTTGCTCAGGCCTCGATAGTCCTCCACCCCACCTCTTGGTCATGTTATGAGCATGAACGCGGATTGCACTATAGTCTCAGGAGGATCATAGGTCCGACTTTTTCCCAGAGAGGCGATAATCAAGGTTGATCGACATATAGAGATATTTTCCCGTTGTCAACTACTCCCAAAACACTTTAAGGCTGATGTGTCTTGTTTTTCAGTAATAAGTGCTTGTAGTTGTGCTTACTGTTTCCATGCTCCATAATCACTGCAAGTACTGCAGACCATCGGACCGACATTTCTCAGTGCACGCCTACGACTTATGCTGTTGTTACAAAGTCATTTTCAAAGATAAACAGAATATAAGAAGAATTAATACCTGATACCAGCTCAATGTAGCAATGTAAATATTCTGTAAAATAGCGGTTTGAGCGAATCCAGCAAGCTTTTGAGCAATCGAACTAATGGCGAATGCTTTGCCAATCTGAAAGACTGTCTGGTAGTGAAAAGTGCATAGGTTCCAACGCTAATCGATATTTTTTGAATCAAAGTAAAGTGGCGATTGAGGGGCATAAAGTGGGTGCGCTTCGTTGCGCGCTTCCGTCGAAACTAGGTCATGCCGCATGCGGCGGATCAGCCCGCGTTACTTGACGGACGTTGCAGTTGTCAGTGGGGCACACGATTTGCGCTTGGTCAACGGCAGTCAGTTCAAAGAGGAAATAACACGGACTAGTGCGATTCATTCGCTTCACTGAACATTGGTGGTACTGTAAGGTTATCTCGAGACCCCAGGGGCTGCGCCGCGCGCGAATTGGGCGGGGTGAACTAGTTTCGAATGGCGCGCGGAACGGACGTTCCCCTAAAATAACGTGGAAGTGTTGCATTTGAAAAGCATGTAAATAAAACTGATTTCTCTCAGTTTATAAGTTTTCAAACACCGTTCTAGCTCTTGTGTTATTAATATATAAAAGCGGCTTTTCCATATTCGTAACTCACTTCATTTTGTTGAACTATACACGTCATAAACGTGTAGGTTAACGGGTTGAGTAGACCGTGAAGACTTCCTGGAGCCAAGCTGGCATAAATCAGCCATGAAGCCTGCAAAGTTCTACAGGTAGGGAATCATTAGATAGTTCTGGTGTGAAATGTTGCGCCCTAGTAATCACATGAAGCACAAGTGAGCGGTAGTTTAAAATCCTTATTCGTGTCAGCTAAAAAATTCGAAACAACGCCGGGCTCTTTCCACAATGTCCTGATTCGGGGATCGTCAGTCATGTGAGAGTGAAAATTTATAACAATCAGGATTTTTCACGAATTCGCACGAAAGAAGGGCAATTCCTACCTCTGCAAGTCCTATCATGAAAAGTGAAATGGCCAAAGTTGCAATTGTCGTGCAAATCACAAAGGTGTCACGAAGTTTCCACCACTTTTTAAGCACAAATAATCCAAAGAACATGCCAACTATCTCTGAAATAATCTGAATTAAGATATGTGGAGATCTGTGCTGCCATGACCAGCCACAAACACTTTTTTGTCAAAAAGTATTTGCAAAAAAGTTGCAATATCTATGAATTAGAGGAATAATTATTCGGCATGCGTGTACCACGAGAGGCAGCCCCGTCATTGAAAGTAGACGAGATGAGCAATGCAGTCATCATTCATGTCATAGTGGTGAATCCTCATTTCTTTCCACAAGTGCAAGGATCAAAGACAATTTTTCGGGAATAATCCATACCATTTTGGGAAGCTTCCCTTAATTCTACTTTCATTCATAATCCTTAAAGCGGTATAATTACATGTCCGGCCTTATGACTTGTGGTAGCCAGTCGATTTACAAGTCAGTGCTTTTATCCTATCGGACGAGTTTGGTCCCAATGAGCCGACCCCGGTGTATGGCAGACTTGGCTGGCTTAGACGAGAAATGATCCGAGATACCATGGACCGTTCCTGGGTGATAGTGCACCACTTGCCACCACACCACCTCCACTCAGCTAAAAGAGGTCTATGGAGTTAGGCAACACCACAGCACTCCTTCTACATGATGGATAAGAGGTATGAGTTCATATGGATACCTTTCTTGCTATAAGTGAAATCTTTTACCCAAATTTTTAAAATGTGTAAGGCTTTACAGTCCCAAACTCACGAACAATTGGCCTCAAAGATTTGTAATTAGCATACTCGTCTTTGGTCCAGTTGAATGGCGACAAAAGAGTGTAGGTTCCGATTAGGCCTGAAATGTAATTGCGAACACTGGAAATAAGGTTCTATGTAGATCTGGCCCCCATCAACTTACTCTTTTCTTCGCCAAACGACAGCTGATCCAAGAAATTAGCACCAAATGTCAGGTAGAGGAAAAGCCGCCGATGTCCCTCACGAGGTATGACAAAAATTTTCAACGATTCATATATGGAATAGAACGACAATTTCGTCAATTCCAGACAACCAGCGCTGAATAACCTTCATCAAATACTGTATGAGCATACTTACTTTGTCAGTTTGTGCATTATTAGCGTCATTCATAACCGTGTGCTGTTACAGAAGCCAAGCGAAGTAGTTAGCTGTAGAATTTGATTCAGTGGTGACAGAAAAGAGAGGTTGGATCAGCTGATGGCTATAGTAGAATGAGGAGCCAACCTTTGCCTTTTTTCTATTGGGCGCGTTGAGGCAGTTGTGCTCTCCTCACCGTCCTTCGTAATCTTGAACTTCGAATGTCGACGGTGGTGGAGCAGACGTAAAGGGAATACTGTTATTTTAACTAAGTTTCAGCGGTCTATATTATTAGTTTACTAAAACTCGCAAGTAAATGAGATTATTAATTCACTGGATAGGTTGCTGACTCAACCCTTTTGTTACACCTATTAAGATAGAAATTTTCGACTCAATCTCTAAATAAGCTAGTGATGCTTCCATATGCAGTAGTAATAATAATGGCGTCATCATATGCCGGAGCTCAATACTTCTATACTATAAGATTCTTTTTTTTAGATGGCACTCTCTACAAATGTTCCGTTGTCGCCGCCACTTACTCGCGAATAGGACGAAGCAGATTCCTTACTCAGTCTACTCGTCAAAATATGATCACAGCAGCTTTTTTAGTAAGTACAGTCATCAAAAAGAATAGAACGAGTCTCGCATCGTACTGAAGTCAATAAAAAGCTTTATCAGAAGTGCTAGGAGAAAACGCCCTGATTTTGTGTGTGATAATGCGAAAAATACGGGAAATGCGTGAAGAAACCGGGTGTTTTCACGAGCTAAGAAGGCTTACAACTAATGCTATTTCACCTATTTTTAGCTGATCAACTTTCCTCTTATTCCAGTTGATTCCCAAATGATTTCTCAACTATTTTTTCCAAGTTGATGACCAATGGCTATCACTCAGCCAAATGATGACTGCCGGTTCGGGGCGTGGCCCGTTGGGCGGAACTCATGAGCCAAGACAGATCTTTGAATTCGATTTTAAATAGTATTTGAACTTCAAGCGTTTACTAGTGCTACTTCTGGGGTATGGTGCAGTAGGAACGAAATTGACGCGTCGCGAGAGAGAGACGCGCGCGCGAAGGAATATATCAGAATGCAGCAGCAAGAAAGGGAATCAGGAACAAAAGAACTAACAGTAGAATTATGTCATAAGTGATAATCGCATAGCGATTGAGCTGTATGAAGAGCGCTAGAACTGTTATGACGAAGCAAATTTTCCGCTACAGCCGCGTGCGGTGAATCGTTCACACAAAATTGTTCCTACTGCCCGTCTGACCTACTTCTGTCATCAAGGAGCTAACCATAAGAGAAGGTATAGCCCATACCATGCCGCATGGTTTACGTTAGGGTTCAACATTACCGAGAATAGATGCTCGATATCTTTCGCAATACCGAAGTAATTAGCGAATAGGGCAATTCATTGAGAAATACAGGATTCTAATCTGCTCAGTGTGGTTTTTCGCAAGAGCAATTAAGGCTAACCTCTCCACTTCCCTCTCTTCTTGCGGCTCCTCGATACTATGTATGTCCTTCTTTGGTCTGCTCTGAGATAGAATGAGTACACCAGCAATCAAAGTCGCCAACAATAAACCTGAAGCACGTCATTTTTCACCACAAAAGGGCGTAATCAGTTTTGAGCCTACACAAGCCATGCGAATGCGTTTAGGTGGTCCCAAAAACTGTCGAGGGTCGCATTTACCGCAAAAAATTCCTGTCTTTTTGAGCGAGACTCGATGCCATTCTAAAGGTCTACCTCGAGCTTACACTCAATAGTTCGCCAGATAAGCAGGAAAAATCTTCGTGTTTCAAGTTTGTTTAATTTTGAGATGAATATCCAAGTTTTTGACCTGTACTGACAAAAACATTAACCCACCCTCTACAATTACAAGCAGAGCCGTCGACGATATCCCATTCAAAATAGCCTTTGTACTTTGAGAAGCGATGAAAGCACCAAGACTGAACATAATCGACACGATAATCATCCTTGTCGATAACTGGAAAGCAATCGAAATATATTCCGGAAAACGATATCCAACTCTCTTATTTTTTTCAAGTGTTTTTTACTAGTATCGCTTAAGCGAGTATCATTGGTGGATAGATAAATAAACAATTATGCCTCATATGAGCGAAAAATGGGCTCAATTTTCTGTGAAATACCTCAGCTTGATGGGGATCAAGCGATGTACAACTGAGGTTGTGACTAGATGATTGCGCATGAGCACTAGCAAGTTCGCGGTGTTAACCTAGTGGGGAGAGGCGCCGTCACCAGACGCATCGGCACCAGGATCGAACCCTTAATTTTCTCAACTAGATTCACTGCACGTTTTATTTTTGTGAGGCGTTTCGAATGGTATTTAAGACTCAATTGTAAGAGTGGAAAGAGCGACTTGTACATAAGCTGGCCCCTGTATTTCTTTCATGGAGGTGGTCCCAAAAATAGGATCTATCAGTTATACAAACAACCGCTAGTTTTTTCAACGGAACTGGTTTTTTTGGTAGAGACGTCTTTTTATAAAAGCTGTGACAGTTTTATAACACCCTTATCACACTAGCTCGTCGGAATGTCCTTCAGAAAAACACCAATGATTACTCTCGGTATTGTTCCGCCTTTCCGGTTCCGGACTCTCGTTTGATTCCCTCCGGTGTTTGCTTTACAGTGCCTACCAGTGTTTATACTGTTCACAGCAGGTTGAATGCCTGCCGCTTCCTTTCAATATTCGATTCGATTCTTCGATAATACCCCTTCATGGTCTCTAAGCACCAGTAGTACCAAAACACTCGCCTGGATGGCGAGGTAGAAGAAAAATTCACTGAAGACGGACATGGTGAAGATCGGATATAAAGTGAAGTCGTCATATTGCCTACATAAATGACTCCACTGAAACAGCTACTGGGTAGAAAATGAAGACTACCTCCAACCTTTGACTTGGTATTTCATAAAAATTGAACGATTATTTGTAGATCTGAAGTTACGAGACTTCATTTTCGGAACTTCTTCTGGAAATGCCAAATATTAGGTTGTGCAGAACGTATGTGCCGAGAATTTCACAACAGGCTAGATTTCTCCCCGGACTTACTGGAAGCTCCCATAAAAATTCTATATATTACTTATATATAATATACTATTATACTATATATTGTAATTACTACTTTGCAAGCGTATAACTTTACAGGAGATTCCATGATGTCGCAATCGTTTGACCAGATTGAGGTTAACCTTCGAACGTTTTGTTTCAGCCGGTGAAGCTGGAATGCTTTCAAGCTGGAACGAGGTTTGCACAGGACGGCTTGGGAAGGGCTTCAACGCCAAATGCTTGACCCAAGTTTTAATGGGCCTTATTAGTAGAGCAGACGGGTTCGAACTCGTAAATGACATAAATTAAGACAAGCTGCCCTACTTACCATTTAGTGTAAAAAAAGTAAAACTCACAGTTTTCTTGTCATCAAATCGATCAGCAACGTATGCGTTCACACAACTCATTGTTAGAAAAAAATCACCCATGAGACCTGTGATGACTGCTGTTGGGTAAAACCAATACAACGAGATGTCGGTTGAAGGCGACCAAATTAGAATTCTCACTGAAAAGGGCCTGTTACGATATGACGTTTCTTCAGGACAAAACTGTTTCTGGAAATCTCACTTGCGTTTTCCACCAGTACACTTACAATTCCAATGAGCAACGGTACTTTTCTTCCATAATAGTCACTATATCCACCTAAACGAATAGCAAACCTGCAGAGAGAAAGAATACATTGTAAATATGGCAATATAGTCGTCCTGACGGAACAGTTACTGCATCACGAAGGGCAATGGAGAAGGTCATTCACGACTTCTACTCGGATCTCTTCGACGGGTGTGGTGCGATTCGTGTGATTCTTGGTGCGCGCGGCAAATTGCGCGACGAAATTCGGTACGATTTGAACGACTGCAGCGCTTATCATTGGAGCCCAAATTTGAAGTAAATTAGTTTGGTAGGATTGTCCGACCCTACTAAAGTACTCTACTTCAAGTTTGTGCCC